CTCGCCATGCTACTCACAGGACACCTGCGGCATCCACCTCCACACGCCCTGTTTAAAGGAGAACTATGAGGTGAGTGAAAAATCGCTCATCCTCATAGTTCTAGCCGACGCGTGACAATGAGACTGTCACAGGTCGGCTCAATAGATCGGGAAGTGAGCGAACACATAACGTCACCCGCTTACCTCTCGACAATCTTCCTGCAGAGAGCGGTGACTGGTCACTCACGGCTCTCTGCAGGGATTTCTCCCCCCCCCTACTCCGATCCTCCTGCGCTGACTGGCGTAACGGATGGGGGAGGGGGCGGGTACAGCTAACTCTGCCTCTAGGTAGGCAGAGCCAGCTGTCACTCACGCAGCTGGGTGGATCTCGACAGTGATTTTGGGATCCGTCCCGGCTGCGGCGTCTCAGTATACCGCGAGCTGTAGCTCTCTATATACTAGGCTTTGGGTGACGGGAGGACGCTAGTTTGTGTCCTCCTGTGAGTCTTAGGAGAACTATGGGGAAAAACACTGACCCCATAGTTCTCCTTTAAATCCCTCTCTGCCATGAACCGCACAGCCAGCCTTGCGCTTTGCTCCTCCATCCTCTTTCCGAGTCGGGTTCACCTCACCCAGCCTAATTATGCGTGTTTATTCGTGCTGAAAATTAGACGGGTTTATTTATTTTTTCGGCCCCGAGGGTGGAAGTGAAAAATCAATTTCTGAAATATCTGTCAATTTAGCAGCCCGCGGGCTAATTTAACGCGACCCTCGGATCGCCGTTGAGGTGAGGGTGCTGAACAGGGAGGAAAAAGCATGATCCAATTAGGAGGGGACGTGAGGCTGTCCTCCGATCTGTAATAAAGAATTGATTTTTCGTTCTCGGATGAATATTATGTCCTTAATTGGTGGCATGGAAGCCGGTGTTTGTGTGCGGCCGAGCATTGCACACAAAGATGTTTTATGCCGTTGGTGATGTGATGTGATGTATGTAAGTGCCGCCTCCATAATCCAAAACCTGCATTTTTTTAATTCTATTTGTTTTTCTATAAATAAAAAGGTCATTCAGGTGTGATCACCGGGTGTTTTTTTTCCCTCAGTAAAAAGTTGCCCTCTACTTTAAGGAACAGTCCTTGGGGACTTCTGGAATCTTCATGAGCTTTGTGTATTTCTTCCAGATCTGTGTAGTAATCCAGTGTGAGAGCTTCCTGTAATAAACGCGGCTTACTGCTGCTTTCTCTCTTTGTGCAGGGTGACTGGTCTTGTCTCCGCCCCCTCCTGTACTAAAGACCGCTCACTGCTGTTCTCTCTCCTTGTGCAGGGTGACTGGTCTTGTCTCCGCCCCCTCCTGTACTAAAGACCGCTCACTGCTGTTCTCTCTCCTTGTGCAGGGTGACTGGTCTTGTCTCCGCCCCCTCCTGTACTAAAGACCGCTCACTGCTGTTCTCTCTCCTTGTGCAGGGTGACTGGTCTTGTCTCCGCCCCCTCCTGTACTAAAGACCGCTCACTGCTGTTCTCTCTCCTTGTGCAGGGTGACTGGTCTTGTCTCCGCCCCCTCCTGTAATAAAGACCGCGGCGCTTACTGCTGCTCTCTCCTTGTGCCGGGTGTCTGGTCTTATCTCTATCCCCTCTTGAAGTGTGTGGGGCCTGCCGGGTCACTCCCACAGCTCTGCTCTCTGCACAGGCTATGTACAGCACAGTGATGATGCCACTGCTACTTTCACAAGGTAATATCTGGGTATGTAAAGGCATTTTGTGAAGTGGATTTATATGAAGTAATACATGTAAATGAATGTTTTTGGCGCCCGTCGTTCAGCTTTAAGAATGGTAACGCTCGTACTGAGAGGAAGGAACTTCAAAGCTCAAATCACTGTGCAGCATTCCTGGGGTGCACAGCATGCATATGTAATGAGGAGGTATCTCCGCCCCATGTCATTACAAAATAAACATAATAAAACTAGGTTGCAAAATTTTCAACCCCACTGATACGATTTTTGTTCGTCTCGTCTCATACAGAAAGATGGAAAAGCGGAAAAATATAAAATATGAGTTTTCTGCATTTCTTGGAGTAATAACCCCC